CATTCCCCCAATATACCACAACTGCGGAACCCCAAAAGTTCCCCGCTCCATCTTCTCGGAACGTTCCTCGGTTGCAATAATCTGTCAATGCTGTGAGTACATCCAACATAACGGGCGAGAGCTGGATAGTTTTGTACTCACGTGTCCTCTCAAGCGGCCGACTTTTTGCCGTTGGGAAACGCTGACGCACGTTTTGGTCTCTTTTTGATATCGAGAACATATTTCCTCTCACGCCCGGACCTCTATCGCCACATATATTGGCGGGCACAGCATCAGCTCAGTGCATCAAGGGTTTTGGGGAGCCCTTTGCGAGCTCGTTACATTCAGTTTCCATGACGCATTTATTTGTTGGTTTATCTGTCACAAATCGTTTGGTAGCAGTAGACCGCGATTCCCGCCGTACTTCTGATGCATTCCGAGAAAGCCACACGATAAGATATTTTGCGCATACAAACGGTATTCAAATGTCCCTCTGGCAGATATCCGCGCGCAAATGTTTGACAACATTTAGAGGTTATTTCCAACATTTTGAAACCATAAACATGGGTCTCACTGTGGGGTAAAGGATGTTTTCTTCACGAGACTGGAAGAATGCGGAGGCGTGATCATCTTTTGTTTATTGAGCAACGGCCCGAAGCAGGCTCACCCCTTCGTACCGCACAGAGAAACCGGCAGAGCGTGCAGCGAAAGCTTGGGATGCGAGTTGGTGGCACGGTACCTGGAGTTGTGCCTTCCAATCGAAGCCAGAAAGACCTCAATCATCGTGCTCACATCCAACACAAATTGTTGACGCAGACTACAAATAAAAACTACGTATTCTACACAGCTGCGGCCATCGCAGGCAATTCCACCTCGTCCTTCAAGCATGCTGACTTACTTGCCGTAAATCTATCGCGTGAATCGTGCGCGTGTGTGTGGCGGGGAGAGGGCCTACCTGTGTGTTAAGGGCAGATCATTGATGTGAGTTGGCGGAAGTCTCGCCGCGTACCTCTTGTTCGACACTTGTTCCGCGAGAACAGTTTGCAAGCTTTTGCTCCCAATCACGCGATTACTGTCAAAGCCAAATCTACCACACTTTTGGCGCACCTTTTTGCTCCCATGAAGAGCGTACACATGAGAAAAGTTGCGAGGATTGAAAGTTTTCAAAGTTTAACTTTTCTCGCAAATTAACGTTCCTATAGAAAGCGGTGTCGTTGTCAGTATGCGGGACGGTGCGTAACGACGACGGTTTCGTCGTCGCGATGGAAGGGTTAAACAAAGGCGGACAACGATCGCCTAGTCTACTCAGTCTGAGGTATATTCCGGGACAAAAGCAAACGTGTTTGGAATCCCGTACTCCTGGAGCGAAAGAGTAAAATAGGACATGCTGTTGCCTCAATCCACCACGCACGGTGAAAGGATTCCATGCAACAACCAGAGAGGGGGGTACCGTAAGGATGGGAGAGAACGCACGGTTCGGTGATATCGCACGCACCAGTGATATCACACCCCCGTGCGTTAAGAAAACAACAATCAAGTGATTTACTCGAGATTATCGCACGAGGTTCAGTGATATTGCATGGAGGTGCGATACCGGAGCACTCGCTGCACAGGAGGTACTTCGCGGTACCATGAACGGTGCTGCTGTGCGTATGGCGGTATCGCGTACCACAAATTGAAACACTGGAGGAAAAGACAACAAAAAACAAGTCAGAAAAGACTGTCACCGGTACCTGCTTCACGATATTCATTGATTCAAAGCATTTGCTACGAACAGTCTGCTGACAAAGATATTGCGCGCTCGCGACGGACAAAATGCAGTAGGAAAACAAAAGAGGCCATCAACGAAGGGGAAAGGCAAAGGGGATCATGATCCTCAAAAGATAACCCTCGTTCTATTCAACGCCAAACCGCCGCTACTTTTTCTCGCTCCTCATTGCTGGTGTGCACCTCCAATGTTCACGAAACCAACCTGCTCTCTACCCGTGGTAATGGTCCACAACACAGCAAGATAACGATATACTTCATCACCCCTAGCGATCGCACCCACGAGACTGCGGTACCGCTGCTGTAGGGCAATCTTGTTTACTCAGTATCGCACGTACCGGTGATATCGCACCCCCTGTGCGATGAAAAACCAAGAACCAAATCATTCAAGTCGATTTTCGCAAGGGGACCGGTGATATCGCACGTACATACCGCCAGTGATATTGCACGGGGGTGCGACAGTCAAGAACCAAATAATTTAAGAAATCGATCGCACCCCCGTGCGTTCTCTCACATCCTTACGGTACTCCATGTTTTGCATGCCTCAGCGGCTGGACCAGAGAGGACGGGGAGCATTGATCCCGCAAGACCGATCACCGATCGATGGCCAATCGATCCTCCCTATTTTGGCAAGGTGACTCAAGAACGACTTTCCATATTCTTTCTACCCCACCTATCGTGCCCGCCTATTCAGCCCACGTCCGATGCCCCAGTATAGCTACGTTTTCCTGGCTTTATAACTGCGGTAGGGAGGGGAGGTATGCCATACAATTTATTGCGGTGGATGAGGGCACCACAGCAGTACTAAATCAAAGTATGAAATATGCGCTTAATATTCCCTCAGCGCTCCTTCCCGCCATATGTACTATAATACATAATAGAACCGATAATGGAAGCCCAACAGGTTATGACCTTCGCCAAGCGTCTACTGTCTACTGCTGTACAACTGGAAAGGTTCCACATGTTTCAGGGATGAGGGACTCTATCAGGCTATCAGACCGGTGGTGATGAACCAGTTGCATTCCTCAATCAATCGCAGCATTCGGTAATTTACTATCAACACTGCTGTTGTTATGTTCCTACTGTTTCACGCGCACGTGTACGACCCCAAGTGACCGGAGACATATGAACCTCTTGTAACAGGGTACAGGTACATCCGCATAGTTGGCGGCGGTTCACCAACTTCGGGCACACGGATGGACTTCATATATTTGCTGCTCAACACTAAAAACTAGACACACCTCGAGTGAGCGACTACTGCTCCCATCACGTAAACGCCATCGAGCGCGAAACTCCAATAGCTGCGCGAGCACCAGCTACACGTGAGTTTCATGGAAGCACCTATTCTACATGCCACGCCTTTACTCGCGCTTGGTGTCATTTCCGGAACGCACTGCGAAAATGTTCAAAACTTCGAGTTTCAGTCTGTAACCTCGTTTCCATGCACGCCATAATTAGCATGCACTCTCTGTAGACATGTACAGCAGTATATGGAAGCGCCTATACTTTTCTACAGGCCACGCCTTTACTCTAACTCACGCTTGGTGTCATTTCCGGAACGCACTGCGAAAATGTTCAAAGCTTCGCCCAGATCCCAGCAGCAGCACCCGTAACTCTCGGATCGGAAATGCCATGACGAACGATGGCCGGGCTATTTCTTTCGCAAGCTGGGTGGTGTTGAGTAAACACCAGGTTGGTTTGTGAGGGGAGCTTCTCGACCGTGGAGGGTGAGAGCATCGAGCCTCTTGTCTTGCTGAAGCAGGGCAGCATGATGATGAGCTTTAGCCGCCGAAACCGTAGAGGGTGCGGCCCTGGCGCTTGAGGGCGTACACCACGTCCATGGCCGTCACGGTCTTCCGGCGGGCGTGCTCGGTGTAGGTCACCGAGTCACGGATGACGTTCTCGAGGAACACCTTGAGCACGCCGCGGGTCTCCTCGTAGATGAGTCCCGAGATACGCTTCACACCCCCACGGCGAGCCAGGCGGCGGATGGCGGGCTTGGTGATGCCCTGGATGTTGTCGCGCAGTACCTTGCGGTGGCGCTTGGCGCCGCCCTTACCCAGACCCTTACCGCCCTTTCCGCGTCCTGACATGTTTACTTGAGGTGTTCTCCTCGAGAGACGGAAGTGAGTTATTGTTATGAGCAGGTGGGGGCGAGGGCGAGGCAAGAGTTATTATGTCCTGCGACGTCCGGGCACATCATGGCACAAACGGGAACAAAATGTGCCACGTTGATTGGTCGTGTTTTGTTGCGTGAAGATTTTGAATTTCTAATCTCGCCGCACACATCACATCCCAAGGTTTACGCACATCGCAGGCTAAAGGTACACGCGGTCGATCGCCCTCGCTCTCTCCCCACGCCTCTCAACGATGTCTCTATGGTCGTGACTAGCGCGGATAGACGACTCGTTCTTATAGCGCTACAAATCCGTGAAACTGCAACACGAAACACAGCATAGCAAATTCATTGCTGCTGTGAGGGCTTCGTTGGTCTGCCAGACAGCGTGGAAATATGTTAGGCTACCTTCTACCCACCCCCCCGTATATCAATTATTGGCATATCATCTCTATTTCCCAAGCCACTACTACAGCAGTTACTGGACTACTGCCTGTTTGTTAGATAATCTATTCATGTTTGTGTGTACGATATATTAATTGCTTATGCTTGAGTTGCGTTTATGGAATATTGCTGCTGTACATGTGTGTGTTCGATCATCATACGGGGTATAGACTGTATAGTCTACACACATGTAAATCCCGTCCGTGAACCAAAGAACCATTGTCTAACCATTCATTATTGCCCTAGAAAGTGTTGAACGACACGACGAGTGGAAAAAGGAAGAAGGTAATATATCTGAGGATGTGCGTACTCAATCTTCACTAACAACGTTTTGTTCAAGGGTTTGAACTCAATAGCACCGCAGGGAGGTGCGAATCTCCAACGCTGTACATGTATTCACAGGCGTTCCACTCGGCAACGGCCACAGATAAGAGGCGGTGTGTACGAACACCGGACAGACTGTGATACTCGGTAAGGAGGCAGATTCTCTGGATGAGATGGGGACAGAAGTGAAGAGTGAGAGGTGTGCAAGGGCACACCCTCGCATCTCCCTCTCGGACAAAAGGCACGGTCAATCCATGACCACAACGAAGGAGTCAAACATGAGGGATGCAATGCAAAAGTTCAACTTGGCGTTCCCGGCGGCAGAAAAAAGAGTCGTCCGGACAATAACGCGAAGTGAGAGAACCCCGCGAGAAAGATATCGGATCGCCTGATGTTTGTAAACATACACGAGTAGTCCCTGTCTCCTTCCCCTCCCACCTCTACATTCCACTGTGTGCCGCAGATACATGCACTCGTGCCAACAGGACAACACTCGTTGTACGTTTTGATTACTACAAAAGTACTAGTTTGCCATCTACCAGACATACTACCCACGAAACACTAATAAAACTGATCATGGCAACACACGCGACTCATGCATGAAAAGGAAAAATTATAAACATGTTTGTTCTCGGCGCAGTTCCGTACTTCCTAGAATTTACTTTGATTCACGTGCTTACGTGCAAGTGGGATGGTGGCAATAGTTGTGTCCAAAATCTTCACGGGAACTGTATATTCTCAAGTTTAATGTACACAAAGCTCAAATATCTGGAAAGACCTTGCACAACCAACCTGCGTCAGTGCGTCACCGAGGGTAAACGCATTCTTATTCAGAAAACGTTTACACCCCAGAAGGCAAGTGCTAAAAAGGAGGGCAAAGACACAAAATTCACATTTCAACGTCTTTCCTGCCGGGCAGGTTTGAGGCTTATGCCAGGCATTACGATACGATATTTGTCCCGAAGGGTTTCTCGAACGTCAACGTGGCGAGGACAGCAACCACAGCACATCATCTAAGCACGTGCTACTACAACCATGGCGCCTACGTCGCCATGTCCTTGGGAGTGTCCCGCATTGGAGGGACGAATTCAGGTACAAGTCTCTGTATGCAACAGCAACGAACGGTCCGGTGGCGACAACGGCTACAAAATTATCAACAATAATCGCACCAACATCCAAGATCTGCACAAGGCACCACCAACAAATACCACACACACTGAACCTTGCAAGACAGCCATTAAATTATTTCGCTTCAGCATAACGACAAGATTTCTGTCCACCACGATCATCTACACAAAAAAAGGTATACAGCAACGACACTGGTGAACCTTCATGAAACGCAATTCCATGAGAAGAGCGCGATACGTTGCCGCCATATCTGCTCCATGGGCAACTTCTGGAACCCATCGCTATCGCGAGCGCTCACTTTGCGGTTGCTTTTTCATTCTTTGGTCGGATGGGTGGTGTTCAGTAAACACCAGTTTGTTTTTTGCTGAGAGGGTCGAACCCAACATGAGAAGGTGCCGGTGAGAGATGTTGTGAACCTCGCCAGCATTGGAGATGGTCGAGCTTAGGCCTTCTTAGGAGCGGCAGCCTTCTTCTTGGGGGTGGAGGGCTTCTTCTTGGGGGTGGAGGGCTTCTTCTTGGCGGTGGTCTTCTTTGCCGCGGGCTTCTTGGCGGTGGTAGGCTTCTTCTTGGTGACGGTCTTCTTGGTGGTGGTGGCCTTCTTGGCGGCGGGCTTCTTCGTCGTGGTCTTCTTCACAGCGGGCTTCTTGGCCACCTTCTTCTTCGGCACCTTCTTCTTCAGCACCTTCTTGACGACCTTCTTCACCACCTTCTTTTTCACGACCTTCTTGGGGGCGGGCTTCTTCGCCTCGGCGCTCAGCTTGTAAGAGGCCTTCATCTAGTGGATGTGTTGAACAGGGAACGCAGGACATGGCCGTGAGGTTTCGAAAAAAATGCAGCGGCACTTTGAAGCAGTCTTGAAACCCAGCGTTCTCAGAATATACGTATATTTATACTCTACAACACAAAACCCTGCTATACCTGGAATGTTCTGCATATCCAAGTTCGCGGTGCAACACACTACCACCCACCGCCGTGCCATCCATCAATTATGCTGCAGGCATCCTATAGAAGAGATACCACCTCCACCAGTAGCTACGCAGACATCTTCCTCGGGAGCAATTTCACACGAGGAATTCGGTGCAACAACTACGACGACGCATAGCGTAGACGTACCTTCACAAATCAAATCCTAAGACACAACCACACGACGATGAACGCTATGTAAACGCTACATACAGGGGGGCGTGCGTGAAGAGCTGTTCCGCTTAGGCGTCCGATCCTCCTTTGACAACGGGACAAAATAGAGCTGCAACAGTAGACTTGAAACAAAGCGGAAGACGATATGCATGTTTCGTCTTGACCTCATACAGTGGTGGGAGAAATAGGGAGCAATACAAGTGTCAACAACACCCTTGGGGAGCATAAACAAGAGTGGTGAGACTCGAAGAAGAGGGAGAAAACAACGATACGATGTGCAAACTTAAAAGTAAGGGAAAGCCGGCGAAAATCACTCTCGCTTTGTGATTGGTCGAAGGGTAATTTTGTGTCCACGTGGCACGAAGCTCTCCAAGAAATGGCAAAAAGGCACATCGAAAAGGTGGGGTTGTAGCGTAGGCGTGGGATATCGCGAGCGTGAAAGGGTGAAGGTTTCCTGTGAAAATAGATTTTGGCCGTTTACCTCGTAGATGGCGTGTCTCACCTTGATGAACTTGCCGGACTCAACTCCCTTCTTGAGGGCGCTGCGCATCTGGTGCGGTGTGAAGTTAAGGGTAGGGTAGGTGGCGGTGATGCTCTTCTTGATGGCCTGGATGGAGGATCCGTTACGCTCCTTGAGGGTCTTGATGGCATCAAATACCATCTGCAGGAGACGGGCGCAAGGGTGCGGACGGTGCCAAGGACGCGTAACAGCAGTAAGGAGAGCGCGCAACGGCCATGGCTTAGTCAACCCCGCCCGCAACGGATGCGTTACAATTGTGGTTTCGAAGCACCACGTTTTAGGGGAAGAAAGCAGCCTGTGAGTTGCAGCGTCGGAGCAGGCGCAAAACAAGGATTGACTCATCCCGGATCAGGCTGTGAGAAGGCTTGCGTCGAGAAGACCACTTCGGTGATGGCAATCAACGCACTGACACATGGTAACACGAAATGCGCGAAGACAGCACGAACGACAGATGCCCCTCTAACTTCGCGCACGAAAGACAAGAAAAAGCAAAGAATCTAGAGTGCTGCGCACAGATGTGGCATGGATCTTCTCATCGCGGATCCGTCGTCTTACCACATTGTACGTGGGCTTGGTGGAGGCCATGGCTGCTGCTTCGACTTGATGAGAGGTGCTGGTGACCGGTGTTTAGGAACTTTGGAGCGACGGAGGGCGTGCGAAGTGCCGCCCTGGTGCGGAGGGTTAGAGTCATCTATATTGCTGTTCATACCACCACACCCCACCGCGCCAACAGGAACAGCATACGCCACGCTGATTGGACGTCGTTTGTTGATTGCATTTTTTTCCAAATCGCTTATTTCGCCGCGTACTCTGCATTGGCAAGCCCATTCCGGTTCATTCTCATCTCTCGCTCCCCTTGTTCCTCCCTGTTCCTCTCTCTCAACACCATGGCTCGCACGAAGCAGACCGCCCGTAAGTCCACCGGAGGCAAGGCCCCCCGCAAGCAGCTGGCCACCAAGGCCGCCCGCAAGTCCGCACCGGCCACCGGCGGTGTCAAGAAGCCTCACCGCTACAGGCCCGGCACCGTGGCCTTGCGCGAGATCCGTCGCTACCAGAAGTCCACCGAGCTGCTCATCCGCAAGCTCCCCTTCCAGCGCCTTGTGCGTGAGATCGCCCAGGACTTCAAGAGCGACCTCCGCTTCCAGGGATCGGCCGTGCTCGCCCTGCAGGAGGCTGCTGAGGCCTACCTTGTGGGCCTCTTCGAAGACACCAACTTGTGCGCGATCCACGCCAAGCGTGTGACCATCATGCCCAAGGACATCCAGCTGGCCCGTCGTATCCGCGGCGAGCGCTCTTAGGTCATCACAGCCTACAGGCTGCACCCCTGGAGGCCACTCCTTCTCTCAACCGGAGTGAGTCCCTCCCAACAACCAACCTGGTGTTTATTCAACACCACCCTTTCAAACGGAGGAAATTCAAAATGTTCCAAACGGAAAGGCTGCTGAACGAAAAGTAGCCACCGGCCACCGACATGCACACCTCTCACCATCTCCCGTTGAATCGTCACAATGTATTAACCGGTCGCCCCGGTGGTCAAGTGGTATCCTCGTAATCCGCTAGTCGCAGAGGTCGTGAGTTCGAATGCCCATGGGGTGAAAAAACGAAATTTGCTGGTGAAAGCGAAATATAGCTCAAAAAGCTGAGTATTAAACTCGACGTTAGCATCGTTGACGAGGGAAAGGGACGGCTGGACCCTTCTCGCAATAAACATAAAATTCAGCACGCACCGCAGGAAGGTGGGGCATGAAAAGAAATAATAGATCGGGAGGTGGGATAGTTTTTTTATGTTGAAACCTGCAGTGGGCTTGCGCGGGAATATACACATTGGATTGCGTTCGTTCGCAGTCGCCCACATACCTTTTGTCAAAAACATGTCTTTGAAAAAAGACACCTCCACATGGGCTCGAACCCCATGATTTCGAGAGTCAGGGTGGCCTTCACCGAGTTCACGAAGTGAAATGGCTTTTTTACAACGTCGTTGCCAAGCGACGAAAACCCAATCCCGATGGCAAACACCGAGGGGGGGCTTGTTTTACAACTTCGTTGCCAAGCGACGAAAACCCAACCCCGATGGCAAACACCGGGGGGGAGGGTGTGGTATATTAAATATAGGGCTAGCAGCTCAAAAAAAAGTGTCTGCTGTTTGTTGTGCTTCGCTTGTTGGTTCGAGCTTCTATCGAGGAATCTCAAAAGCGTTCAAGCGTGTGATGTGTAACCAGGCTAGCACGGGAGGCACTGGTCGCACACTAGGCCTTCGCGCACAAAAGTGTAGAGAGGCGTACAGCAGTACATGTCGCACCAATGGTGGTGCGTAGCAGCGTCTGTGTGTTGGTGTCATGTGCCCCTCTCCGCGGAAAGAGAGAGAGGCCGCCGCTGCTGCTGCTGCAACCAAATGTTGATCTCTCCTCTCGCTTCCTCCGCCGATACCTAACAGCAGCAGTGTATGGCACACCCTTCTCCCGCCGTCTCACCCTCACTGTGGTCTGTGTCTCCCTCTCCCTGTTTGTCCATGTCTGGCTCTGTGTGTGTGGTGTGTGGTGTGCGAGGCTATCTGTCTTGGTTCAAAATCAAACGACGCCTCCTCTCAGTGTTGCAAGGGGTCAGAAACTTCCCTGCTTCAAGTTGGGTACCGACGCTGCACTATCTCGACGCACCGAGCACGGATTGAAAAGGTAGCAGTTGGGACAGCTCGGGCAAAATCTTACCTGTTGTGAACATGTCTTAGATTGCAATTCGGTGCCTAGATGGTGAAATGGGCTCGAGTCTGCTGGCTTATTTATGGCTGGTCAGACAGTCGGACAGCCTTGGCTGAAAACATCAACCCTCACCCAATGTTTTTCCGTCTTTTTCGCACATACGTACGTACGTACATCACGATCCCTCTAAACAGCTTTTTGCAAAACAAAAAGAGGCCCTATCGGGCACTTCTCTTTTCTATGTACGTGCGTATGTGTACAGTGGGTCAAGCATCATCAGAGTATCATCAGAATGCATGCATGAACGTCCTGTCCGAGAGACGTGGCGGTTCAGACATCTTGATCTGATATCATCGCATGTCGAGGTTCAACTTCTCAGGGACGTTGCCCGTCTGGAGTTGCCAAGATATTTGCATAGCCAACATACTGAATTGCTGTACGTCAATAATTGTGAACTCCCCGACACAGCAGTATTTTGTGTTTTCGTGTTTTCTTCACATAAAAACTAAAAACAAACGCTTCGATTTCTGTGCGATACCTTCCGATATCAGCACCCGTCCAACTGACGCGGACTTGTTACTTCCGTGGTCGCAGGCTACATAACTAGCTGAAAAAAACGCGAAAAGGGGTACTTCCTTAGACGAGTACCTCCAAGTACAAATTTCGAAACAAAGACAAGAAGACCCAAGCAAAACAACGCAAACAAACGGGGCGAAGAACGCAACACGATTCAATTATGATTGAACGATTCACCTGTCGGGTATGTATACAACCAAGTAGACTAATTGATTTATTTAGCCCAATATCGCTTCGTTGCCTTGTCCTCCATGTCACGCCGCGCGACCTAACGTATGTCAAAATCAAATCCACAAGCCGTACAAATACCTTTGGTACAACGGCAACTCCAATATCCACGTTGCTCAATGGAGAACCGAGCATCGGGAAGAAGCTCCTATTCACACCTCCCGAGAATACTTCAGCGGTAGCCTCCCTAAGTGGCTAATCCCGTTCTGAATCTATCGGCATCCGTGCGTTGTGTGTTTGACGCACGTCTCCAAGAGTTAAATTTAAATATATGTTAAAAGAAAAGTGCAGTCAAGCACAACAACCTTGATTACGCGTGAGCTTGGGCAATTCTCCGAAGTCTACTCTGTGCCAGTTTTACATCCCACCCATGATCAAATAAAACGCAGGTGAGCACAGATTCTTTTACAAATGACAACTCAATACGCTCCGACTGCCTGATCAGGCGGGCAGGACTAAAGAAGCATCTACGCACTGCGCAGCATTGAAAAAAGCAAGTGTTACAACGATTCACAGCAGTAACACCTCATCTACAGGACGATTCACGCAAGTGTGTGTGCTTTTACTGGTTACGCTCGGCGTAGTTACAACATCGAAGAAGTTACAAATTCACACATTCGGGGGCACAATCTGGGAGGTAGGAGTCCACGCAGCATGTCGTTAGGCTTCGCTTCCCCACACCGGAACTAGCGTGCCACCAGATCCGTCATCCTGCGGTGCGGCACAGCAACTAGCGAACTCCTCCAACACACGGGCCCGCGCCTCTTCCTGGTCGTCATCTTGATCATCCTGCCCTGGCCCATCCCCATCGCCACCCCGCCGATAGCACGGGCTCCCTCTTGCGTGAATGTTCGAGGGCGCTGTCCACGAACGGCCGGGGCTCGGACTCGGTGTGCTGGCTGACGCCCCTCGCCCGCTCAACCCCTCGGCACGTTCCCAGCGACTCGCACGCAAGTTCGCACGTGGCCCGCCCTCTTCGGTGTTGTCACCGCCGGTGGCCAACGACGGCGGAAACAGTAACCTCTGTGTGGGCAAGTCGCCGTGGTTACCATCTCCCGTCTCCCTGTACAGCTCCGTCATTTTCCCTATCAACCCAACGCTTCCGCCTTCTAGGCTCCGGCGGAGAGTCCGATTTTGACCCTCCAGTCTGTCCACCTCGCTCCGGATCTGCCGCAGGTGCTCTTCTTGCTCGTGGGACAGGAACGACCGTCCGCCACCCCCATCCCCTGGCATCCCTCCTCCGGGTCCTGGACCATCAGCCGCCCGACCGACACCCCAGCATGTCTGCTGCTGCTGCTGCTGCTCGTGGCATCGCCTGCAATCATCCAAGGCTATCATTGCCTCTTCAAGGCGTCCTTCGGCGTCTTCCCTTGCCCTTTTTTCCGCCTCTTCCCTCCGCCGGGCCTCTCTCGCGCAGACCGCCTTGGCGCGCGCGGCGACCGTGGCTTGCCGAGCGGCGTGTCCCCGGCGCCGGTAAGCCGCGGCTAACGCCTCTACGCCGCAGATGAGGGCGCCCAGAGACGGGTCTACTGGTGATGCTGGGTGCTGCCACAGGAGAAACGAGGCCATGGCCGGCGGGAGGGCAGGCGGTGTAGAGGTCGAGACGGCGCCGTCGTCGTTGTCCACCCTACTGCTGCCGTCGTCCGAGAGGCACGATGACACCACGCCCCAAGCCCGCTGCGCCCCTGCCAGGGCCTTCTGCAGGGCATCCTCGGCCTCCTGGACGCGCTTGCTCATTGCTTGCGCCTCGGCTGCCGAGTGTCCTCCCTCTCTGTCATTGCCGCCGCCCGTGTCCTGCGAGGGACTGGGAGAGGGTCCACGGGCAGCAGCGGCAGTGGCAGCAGCAGCGGTCGCAGCTGTTGCGGCGGCGGTTGCTCTCTGCTCGGCGAGCCTGACCTGCTCCAGGGCTTCTCGAAGACGATGGGCGTCGGCGTGCTCCTCCTTTACCTTGGCCTTTAGCGACGAGCACTCCTCCTCAAGTTCGGCCACAAGCCGCCCTGCACGCCTCGCCTCTGTTGCCGCTGCCAGCGCACCGCGCAACGCACCACTACCACCAAGGCCAACGGCGTGGTGACCGAACCCTGCCGTAGCATCAATGATAGACTCTAGTTCCACGTCCCGCGCGGCCAGGGCACACCGTAAAGACTCCACTTCTCGGGCACGCGCCGTTACGTCTTCCACCGTAGGATCAAAGCCCTGCTTTGCTGCCGCTGCTAGTGTCGCCTCTTCTCCCGCGGCCTTCGCCGACAACAGCAGCGCATCACGCTCCGCGGTGGCGGCTCCCAGCGAGGCCGACAACTCTGCCACGCGATCTCTTGCTCTGGCCTCGGCCGCAGTCGCAACCGACAAGCGGTCCCTGCCCTCCTGTTCCAGTCGCGACCTTTGCTCTTGCGCCGAGCGCTCTGCCGCCGCCGCCGCGTTCGCCGCGCGGTCACGAACGGACTGCAGCTCCGCGCGGGAGGACTGCAGCTCTGACCGGAGAGCGCCGGTCTTTCGTCTCTCCACCGCTAGCTCCGCTACCGCCACGGCCAGCTCGCCTTGCGCGCCCGCGAGTTCTCGCTCCGCGGTGCGGGAACGAGAATTGAGGCCATCGGCCTCGGCCCGGGCGTCTCTGACTTGGTTGTCCCGCTCCTCGATGCGGCGCTTGAGGGTGCGCGTGTCCCACTGCAAGTCTTCCAGCTGCCGCCGGAGGCGCTGCAGCTCAGCTCGACCGCGCCAAGGGTCGGCCTGGGATAACGACAAGGAGGAAACAGCGTGAGATGGAGGGCAGCGTACCGTACAGCGGGATCGAGCGGGGGGGAGCGATACCGTAACTGTAACGAGTAAAGATGGCTCACCCCACAACCGGAAAACACAGCGGTCGGAGGGGGGTAATGCGGCTCCTCACGCATAAAAAAAACATATATACATGTATATCGGGAACGCCACCATTCATCCCATTGGTAGAAGGAATGGTCAAGCCCAGACAGGAACGAATGGGCACGCCAGAACTACTTGTGGTAGGTTTTGCGGAATCGTTCTTTGGGAAGCGCCGACACAAACCACGTTGTTGGTGGTGAGGCCCTTCAACGCTCGTGCTTGTTCTTTCGACAGTGGGCAACCATGGCCCGCGCCACAAAGTCAAGTATAGTAGAAAAAGCTCTATACTTTTTGCGGGATACCGTACGGTGTCAGCAGTTCACACCTTACCGTCCATATTCTTCAACCCTGCGGACATGTTGAACATACAAAGGTGATGTAAATCTATGGCCACAAAATACATGTGCATACCTGTGCCGAGATAGGTCGCGGGGCCCCCGGCAACCAAGCAGAGGAAACAGGTGGCGATGCAACAGCAGCGGTAGCAGCAGCCGCGGCCGTTGCTGCTGTGCTCTCCTCCTTAAGCCGCTCCATCCTGAGGAGGCCCAAGTCTACCTGGTCCCTGCACTGCTGCTCGCGCTCCTCTCGTTCTTCAACGGAGCCCTGACGTGAAAAAATGTAGATAAGGCGTGACAAATACACCATACTGTAACACGGTTTTGATTCCGGCAAGGGATTGCCTGTTGTTTTACGTAAATGTATAACAGGCTACACGGTGGGCGCTTGGGCATTGAACCGTGTTAACAGAAGGATTGACTCAATGGGTCGCGGAAGCATGAACACAAATTCTTGAAACGGGTGCACAAGGTCCAACATCGGTGCATGAAATATAGTGTTGAAAACATGCTTGCAGCCATTCAATGACCAGCAAGAGCCAGGCTGCTGTGCATTAATACAGTATCCCTCCGCTGCACGTTAGTCCCTGCACGCTCGGCTGGTGCTTGTGGGCGAGCCACGCATGCACCACACGGACGAAAATCGTAGACAAAGCAAGCCTCCACGCGTGTGTATCCACTTCTTGCTGATGATCAGCGTAACAAAGATGTGCAAGAGTACTCCGGCCATCACAAGCATTTGCTTTGTCGCACACACAGGCCGTTGCCCGACACCACCATTCAATAGCGATGCCGCCACCTTAACTGGAGTGCGACAATCAAACGATAAAACGCCACATATCGAGCGATAGAGATATAACGAACACACGACACGTGCAAGGCCGGAAGAGGAGAGACCAGCAAGGCGCGATGTCGATCCAGTCCGACTCTTACCTTTAGCTCTCCCAGCTGGTTGAGCAGCCCTTGGAGGGGAGCCGTGTCGGCCGCCTGATTCTCCTCCATCACCGCTATCCTCGACCGCAGCTGCTTCAGCTGGGTGCGCAGCTGCTCGATGACGATGTCCTTCTCCATCAAGTCCAGCTGCACGTCATCTGTGGTGCGTGTGAACAAAAAACGGGGGCGCCTAGGTGACGTTAGATAACGGTGTAAAGGACGAGCTTTCATTAAACAGGATATGTGAACGCCGGATCGATTCCCAGCTCCGACAATGTTGAGGCACCACTAAGACGTTTCCAGCAGCCCATGGCGAGGGGCCCGTCCCTGGAGATCACTGCCGCAGTGGGAGGCCAAGAGCCATTTGGCGTATATCCACTCAGCTACTCAGTCAGCAGCTTTATTGATAAGCCCTGTCTAACAGATGAATTCGTGCTTCCGCAAGCAGAAGGCGCATGGTTTGTGCATGTCCCGGCTTGCCGTTCTGAGGGCTTGTTGGGCTACACAAAAATCAAATCTGTACACTACACCGCTTCGGGAACAGCGGCTCAAACGGACTTGCCTATGGTTCCCTCGAAGCCCCCATCGACCCACCGGTCTCTAGCTCCCGACACCGCAGCAGGTGCGCCCCCGCTGACGGCACCAACTCGTCGGTGCTCAGGACCTTCCGCTTCCACCTCTCCCTTCTGCACTTTCACCGCTACCGCATGACCACCGCTCCTCTCCGTCTCCCTTTCGCCCCCCTCAGACTCCCTCTCTTGCAAAGCCTCCCGGCGCCTCCCGTCGGGACGAGCACCACCCACCCCCTCGCCGCCACAACCATCATTGTCTCCCCCCGCGGCGGCGACAGAACCCGACGTGAGGGCCCCGTTCCCGCCGAGAGACACGCCTCCGTCGCGCCTCCCCGAAGAAGATGCGGCCAGCGCCGAAGCTTCCGCGAGCTCCACCCGGAGGGAATCCACCGCCTCTCGCAGGTTACCCTTCTCCCTGGCAGACCGGTCGCGGTCGTCCCGCGCGGCCTTCAGTGTCGAGGACATGGCCGCCTCATCAGCGGCCTGGCGTTCTCGGTCCTCCAGGGCCTCTCTGAGCGACATGAGGTTGTGTTGGAGGCGCGCGTGTTCCTCGGCCCACTCCAATCTATTCCCGATTGACGGCCTGCGGGAGAACGGCGAGGTACGGCAAACGGAATCCGTTGAGACGGTTCGCGAATTGGAGCGGGGGGGGGGG